GGGGGGGGGGGGGGTGGTTATTGGCTAATTGTTACACAAGCCAAAAAAAACTGATGACATCGCAAAGTAGCCAAAATCTGATCAGCTCATTTTCAGACAGGTTTTTATATAACTGGATCAGGACAAAAATAAATCTCTTTACAGAGGGGAAACATATTTATGTATAAAAGACATGAAAAAGTGGATTTTGCACAATAGCTGACCTTTAAACAATCTGTTTTGTTTGCTTACAGGAATATCTGTGAGCATCTCCACATTTAGCCTGGTTGCCATAGCTATCGAGCGCTACAGTGCCATCTGTAACCCTCTGAAGTCGAGGGTGTGGCAGACCCGCTCCCATGCCTATCGGGTGATCGCTGCGACCTGGGTGCTAGCCTTGGTCATCATGATCCCCTATCCAGTCATCAGCAACTTGGACTCTTTTCAGCGTGCTGACAACACCACTGCTCACCAGTGCCGCCCCAAGTGGCCCCTCGCTACCGCGGAGCAGGCCTGGTGAGTGTTCGGCCTGCAGATGATGTGTCCTTTAAACATCCCACTTCTGTAACATTGTCGTGTTTATATGTGAGCAGAAGTACAGAAGAGCTGTAAAGTCAGAGAGAACGGTATCATTAATGTCAGTCACAGCATTTATCTAAGGTTTGCTAACATTAGCTAGCATTAGCCTCCAAAGTTACTACTTACAATTAAATATACTGTTATATAAAAGAGATTTAAACAACTTATTTAGTTTACTTTACTAGTTGTCCAGGGAGATACAGGGAGGTGTTGCATAAGGGATGACATATCATCTGCATATGTAAAATATTAAATGTTTTGGTTCTACACAATAAGGAATCAGAGAGGCAGCATCATTGATCCACTGGAAGGTCAAATAAGGCTGTGTGTAGACAGATTTGTTTAAAGGTTTATATTAAAGGTTATTTTTACTGACAGTGTTTTGTCATCAGAAAATGTTTTTTCATTAACCGAATTCAAGGTCATTTTAATGTAGAACGTCATTACTTGAATAGAGAAGGCTGAAAGAGGAATTTTCCTCATGTTATTTGTTTTTTAATCCGAGCTTAAAATTCTCCATAGCAGCAAAATGACCACTATAATGTGCATCCACCCACCATTGTCTTATAAAATCATGCACTGCTCAGCACATCTCATTGAGAGATTAAAAAGCCAATACAAGAACAAATACAGATTAGTGAGCTCCCCCAAATAACACACACACACACACACACACCCACACACACACACACACACACACACACACACGTCTTGTCTTTAGGCTTCAACTGGATCTTGTTATTATTTTATCTCTGCTTAAAAGTTGGTTATTGTCTTCATGGAGAATAGATAATGAAACACTTTGGTGGGTTTATTAGTTTAACTAGAGATATACACAAGCTATATTGATTTTTCTTTAAGCATCATCACTTACATTTCCATAGTAATCGGAAACACAACAGGACATAATATGCAACTTCACATGAAACTTCAAAGCTCAGATCATCCATCATGCTTGCCATCCGGACAATGTTCCGTTTTGTTTCATATAAACTGTTGATAATCTGTGTCTGAAATGTATTTTGTTTTGCTTTTGTGCGTCTGTGTGTGTGTGTGTGTACTTTCAACGAGGCAGGTTACCCTGAAACACCTCATTTACTTTCATGTTTGGAAATCTTTTTTTAGCAGCTTTTAGTATCCGTCCACTGGGTGTTCTTTGTGGAAACATTAGGGCAGATGAGGAGAGCAGAAGGATTTTTTAATGAAAAATTAGGATGTAACAGGCTTAAGGGTTATTTCAGTGAACTGTGTGTTTTTGTGCACAGCTGACACATGTTCAATGATGTCTTTATTTTAGTGTAGGCTTGGGTTTATACATTTGTGTATTAATGCTAGACCCAGTAAGTGTATCACCATACGATTTTGATCCACAGAGGATAAGACAATTAGTCATTTTGATACATTAAAAGCTTTTCTAACGGTCTCGCACAAATTCCAGAAGACTTACCATCTGGATAGAGAATGCTTTGTTTGTTTGTAATTTATATAATTATTTTTGGGGCGCAATATATGCCTTTATTTGAAAGCGAGAGAGAGAGAGAAACCAAAGTCCCCGGTTGCGGTCGGATAATCCAAAAATCAGCTCCTAACGTCTAACCCTATCGTCTATTCCTTGACCTCTGTGTGAAACGTCACGGGGTTAAGGGATAGTGGATAGGAGAATTCAAAAGGACTTAGGAGAAGAGACTGCGATACTTTAGAGAATCCGACTGCACTTTCACTATCCAACGTATTTATGATGCGCCAGCGGACGTCATAAATGTGCGTCTGCTGCTGTGGGGAAACTACAGTTTTCTATACAGCGGACTACAACATGGATGTATAATAAGAACGAGGGACTACTGTAGCACCGTAACTTTCATGATATCATTTCTCGGTCATAATCGGTTGTTTCCGTGAACGGCCGACTGTTGCGTGACGGCAAATGCTGCGGCCGCAAGGCATTGTGGGGCAGCATTTTCCTCCTCTCTTTCGTAAAGGGAGGTCCAGTGGTTCCTAAGCCAAAGGAGGTTATAAAGGAAGTTTGAAACCTCCTTTCCTATTATCTAGAGAATTCGAACGGCACTTATCATGGCTGCCACTGAGGGGCTTCCGGGTCATTTCACAACGTTAGGAGGGTTCCTAAGCTAAATGGACTATTCCACTTCAGCCCCTGTTTAGGGTGTGGTTCATGATTGGCATTTTAGCCCATGAAAAATACCTGTTACCCAAGATGCAACCTGGCTATTTTCGATCCAGACACACTGGAAATTAAATATTGTGCAATGCAATACAAAATATGAATGTGTTTTTTGTGAGAAAATTCTAAAGATAATAATAGTGTAAATATATTGTAATTTAAAGTCTTACAAGCTTAGCAAGGTAAGCTTATTGAAAGCATACTTGTGCTAAGTATCAGATGAGTGAAAAGTTCCATGTAATGTCATTTCTGACATCAGGAAAACAGCCAATAGTTGTTCATCAAAATAGTTTGAAAAGTCTCTGGGGATTTTGGAAATATTATCTGAATATCCAATATTTTAATTTACAGATAGAGATTATACAGTTAGAGATTAAAGGGTAGAAAACTGTGGCCGCATGAATGCCTGAATGATGCACATCTTAACCCCTCTCTTGTGTCTTTTAGGTACATTCTGCTGCTGCTTGTGCTGTTTGCAATCCCAGGGCTGGTGATGATTGTAGCCTATGGACTGATCTCCAGGGAACTTTACAGAGGCATCCAGTTTGAGATGGGCCACAAAAAAGACTCTACTGGTGAGTCCATGCACACTAAACATAGAGAAAACACACACAATTGTAGGGTACAGCTTAAATGAGGGCTATCAAGTTCACAGGCTACAGTCAATGAATAACATTGACCCCAAAAATACAGCATTGAGTAAAAACAGCGAATGTTAAGACTCCAGAAGTATGACCTTATCTTTCAGCTAGGTGACGCAAAGGGTAGTTTGGACAGAAAGCAAGCCTGTTAATTTGCATGGATGGATTCACAACCTAAAATGTTTTTGTTTCTCAAACCGAAATTACAACCAGTTATTGTCCTACATGTAGAGAGATGACTCTAAAAAAGAATGATGAGAAACATTTTCAACAAAGAAGTCAATCCATGTGAACTGATATGATGCCATGTGTTCACCCCTTCTCAGAGGAAAGAAAGGATGTAGAAGGACGGGAGCAGAAAGATTTTTCAAGCTGTTGGAAAATAAGACTTGGACTTCATAAAAATGCGAAGGTGACCCATGCAGGTACAGCACTCCTGTTCTTTTCTCTACTACATTTTGTAATGAAAAAACTAAACAAATCACAGAACCAGCCAACTTGTTAATCCTTATCCTATCATTGGCAATATCTCAACACACTTGACGAAAACAAGGCACTGGCAACAACACTCAAAGCTTTCTTCTGACCTCTAAAGATTTATAGAGGAAATACAGTTTTTCTTAAAAAGCTGACGTTTTGATTGCAATGTAATTTATACATAATAGCAACCAACCAAAAGAAGATAATGTGTTTTTTCTATTCATGTGAACGATGATTTTTTATTTTAATCACAACGATTTAATTAGTGCTACAATCATTGTAATGTGTGCAGGTTAAGTGGAACATAACCTTTTGTGAGCATATGAGAGTGTGTCTCGGGTGAAAGCAGCAGGGAGTGAATTTGCCGGTGCTTCATTAGAGGATGGATTGGCTGGCAGCTGCGGGCCTGGACATCACCATCTGTTTGGTCTCACAGAGGAAGAGTTTGTCTAAAAAAAAAAGAGCTTGAGAGAATAGGAGCATGGGGTAAAAAAAGGGGGATGAAGGATTAAGAATTTCTAAAAATACCCTTTTGGAAAATGTGAGAGTGGTTTATACCTTAATAGTTCTTGTGAGTACTTGCTTCCCTTGTGTATCTCTGAAGCTCAGCAGCTGCTATTTGAGCCATACAGATGGGTGCATGTGTTATCACAGAGCCAGACTGTAGGACACACGGTTCCTCTGGTCAATTTCTAACAGGTGAGTATGTGGGTGGGAAAGGTCAGGTGATGGGAAAGGCAAAAAAGGGGTAATTGAAGGTGAGGGAGTGGCTGGATCTGGGAGTCTAGTAAAGTAAAATAAATAGTTTTTACATACAATACAGAAGTGTATGTACTTGCTACATTCAGTTTAAACAACCTTTTTTGCTCTGCTCTCCCATACAGATGTGAAGAATGGACTGACCTCTGCTGCGTCCACCGGTAGTGATGATGGAGATGGTTGCTACGTTAATGTCGTCCAGCGGCCACCCTCTATGGAGATGTCCACCATGGCTACAACTGTCAGGGCAAACAAGGCCGAAAGACCACGCAGCAACACCTCTGAAGCCAAGCTGGAGGCCAAGAAGCGAGTCATCCGCATGCTGGTTGTCATTGTTGTCCTTTTCTTTCTCTGCTGGATGCCGCTGTACTGTGTCAACACCTGGAGAGCGTTCGATGACGTCTCGGCCAAACATGCCCTCACAGGCGCTCCCATCGCTTTCATCCATTTGTTGTGCTACACTTCTGCCTGCGTCAACCCCATTATTTACTGCTTCATGAACACACGTTTCCGAAAAGCTCTGCTAGCCACGTTCTCGTGCTGCGCTGCACCTTGCCATCGCCGCCGCCGCCATGGGCTACGGGACAACGAGGAGGACGTTATGGCAACCGGGGCATCCATGTCAAAATTTAGTTACACTACAGTCAGCACCATGGGAACCTGCTGAGGCAGATCGATGAAGCCACAATCCAGAAGAGACAGTTACTACGGCAACACAGCACCCTGCTTCCTGTGTGTTTAGGAGACTTCGGCGCTGAAGACATAACATGGGAAAAAACAGGCCATATAGATATCATTATAGAAGCATCACTCATGAATGAGAGTAAAGTTATATATGTATATAAGTTACACAAAGATGATTTAATGAAACCCAGTCCAACCTACATGCTATGTTTAAAAAAGCACAAAAAAATGGAGTACAGTAATGTCTTGTTGGACTGGACCAAGGCAAATTATTTGCTTAGATGTTTACGGTGGGACGTGTGTGTGAGAGTGTAGGTGTGTATGTGTGTGTGGTGGGCTGTATGATATGTTCTGGTGGCAGCTTGACAACTTGTAATTTGTGAAGCTATACAAATAGGAAGGAAGGGTGCTATGTCAATTTGATATAGTGTTTATGTATACTTTGCTGTTAGTTGTTTATCCGAGTTTATGATAGTAATGCAATTGCCTTGTTGACTAAGTGCCTGGTTCTAAATACTATGTTAAATCTGTCTACAGTTGATGAGTCTCACTCATCACTGGCACCATAACAGGCGGATTAAAACTTAGATGGTTGTGGAAGTTGAGTTTAAAGACTCAAAGTGAAAATCCTCATAGGAAGTTTTCTCTCCTAATGGGACCTGATATATGAGTGTGTTGTCAGCTCCACACGGTTCCACAGGTGAAGAAAATACTTGTATAGGTGGTATAAAGATCTAAGATAGGCAGTGGTGATGCCTTGCGTAGTGGTTGTAATCTGTATGCTAGCCAACTTTGTATTTGTTCTTATTTTTAGTGCCGGTTTTGTGTGCTGCAATGTTAGTTAGTAATGTATGTCATTGCAGTTTTACATGGTAGCAAATATGAGAAAGTTGACTTGACTCTTGTTGACTTGAACTGTGTTTATTTTTCATGTGAGGGCATTTAGTTTGAGGGTAGTACATAATACCTACTGTATCACTTTGTGGAGAACATTGAAATATTGGGAGAGAGTACAATAGAATATACTAGATAATGGTATTGAAAAAAATATTTAAAACAAATTAAAACTTTGATGAAGTCACCAGGAGCAGGCTCTGGGTTTTAGAAACAGTAAATGGTACTAATAGGATTTTATAAGTTACTATATCCATGCTGTATGACAGCATGAAAGGGGGGTTTTCACTGCAGCCTTACAGTAATTGAGGGTAATCCCAGATAAATTCATTGAGAATCCAGAAACGTGCAGTCCCTGTGAACTCACCCGCATGTGACAAAATGGCAGCCAGGTTTCAGAGGTCTCTGTTCGTCGTGCCCTTTGTGGCGTGTCTGACTCTGTCTCCCCTGCTCACCTCACAGTAATTGTGTTACAACCCGAACCCTGCCAGGCTGAGTGCACCAAAGCACAATGCTGTCAGCCTCTCAACTACTAATAGATGAATGGCTTGCCTTACTGAGCATTTTTTTATATTCTAGATTGACCTTCAGCTTTTGTGGTTTATTGTGTGCACATTTCCCTTTGTGTTTAACATATACATCATAGTGAAGTATTTTTAGTAGACTCAACTACAGAGAGACAGACTCTGATCAGCTAAAACCTCAATCTGTATAATGTAAAATACAGCAGAATAAAGCTAATGACAAACTTAGATTTAGAGACAATAACATATTAGCCTTCTGTGCTAATGATTTAATATCTGCAGTTCCTTCTCCTCTTGCTTTATACTGAGACAACTTTACCATCACATGTCTCCAGAGTGTCAAGCTTATGTCAAGTGATGAGTGACAGCCAGAACATAATATATACCTTCCCTTTGTCTCACTGTGCAGACCCAGGCCCGATCATCTTTAAACACATGAGGCACTCATTCATTAGCTGATCTCATTGTCTCTGGGCTTGATGGGCCTGTGTTGAAAAGCCTTTGTATGAATGGCTTATGGATCAAACTTTAAATATGACCCGACAGTGAAAAAAAGCGAGATCTTTTGTGCTCTGTAATTTCTATGTTCTGATCACAAAGTCCTTCTGTGAAATCAGAACATTTTAATTTGTCACAGTGATTGAAGTTCCCTTGCAGTAAAAAGCCAGACAGGAGGTAATTGTGTGTCTGCTAGTTGCTTTTCTAGGAAACACCAGCATTTGTTGTTGTTTATCAGTGACAGTTGGAAAGTATTTTTTTATTTTGCAGAGTGCCAGAAGAAGCTGATTTCCCCGCAGTGTCATAGAGGCTGTTAGACGTTATGACTTGCTCCCCAATCCTCACCACATCATCCAGTTGCCACAAACACACACACCTACAAAGAGTACTCCAGCTTGAACTGGTTATTATGCACTAGCTCCCGACCAATTACACACATGTGCCAATAATTATTATTCCTAGGGATGCCATGGTTTAAAAACTGCAAAAGGTAAAACATTTTCTATTGACAAAACACAGAGAATACCTGCCCATCACTGGAGCTTCCCTCACAAAGAGGTTTTGCATGTTTTGGATCATATTTGTTTTACGTTTACAGCCCATAATCCTGCACTTATCAACAAAAAACAGCTGGTAGCTGTTTTCCTAAAATAACAATACTTTTAAAAAAACGGCTGTTCCTTAGCTGCTCAGCACCAAACAGCAAACAGACAAAGTTAGTGTTTATTTGGTGAACATAGAGGAGAATATAGGCGCTTAAGATAGGGTGACCAGACGTCCCCGTTTTCCGGGGACAGTCCCCGTTTGTATTGGCCTGTCCCCGGTTGAAACTGTCCCCGGAAATGTCCCCGTTTTTTAATATACGTTAAAAACACATACAGTAGCAAGTCGAAATAAAATGTTTCATGTCAGGAAACACTGGGTAAACAGACTGTGGTCAAACGGGTCAAACCAGTCCCCACTTCGGAAAACACAGTCAAGCCAGCCCGCACATTGAATTGCAGTGCACGAATAGATAGAGGCCTGTAAAAACTGCCTTCAAAATAAAAGCGTTTACTCGGTCGATAACAAATATACCTAAAAAACACACCAAACACATTCATATATACTGGAGCTTAAATTAAGAAATATGTACTATACAATGTGATCAATAATAATTTAAAACAAACTACGTATAACTACCACATTATAACTGACTGAGTGAATGCAAAATGTAAGTATACAGTTATGAAGACATATCTGACATTTCCACTGGGTGACTAATTTCAATTGATGTTGACACCATCTCACAACACTCCTAAAATAACATTACTTTCTGAAGCACAGAAAATGTATGCTGTTTAAAATCTCAAATTAGATCTATTGTCCATCTATATTTTGATTATTATTTATTTAATGGAAACCGTCCATAATCAAAGAGTTATTCGAAATCAATCAAATACTTATTTCACTTCAGGGTGATAGCAGGAGACCCCATCTAGTCAATCAGAGAAAATCAGGACAATCTGATGTAGAATTTCAAAATAAAATACTTTTGAAATCTCATATATGGGCTATCGTCCTTCTGTTTTTATACAAGAATAAATAAAAAACTGTTAAATTATCAAAGACTTATTTCACTCCAGGGTGACAGCAGGACACCCCATCTTGTCACTCAGAAAGAATCTGGACAATCTGATGTACAGTTTCAAAATAAAAGACCTTTGAAGTCTCATATATGAGCTATCGTCCTTCTGTTTGTATCCAACAGCTCAAATGTTCGAATTACATTAAACCAGAATTGTCCCCCTTTTTTTTTTAACAGTGAAGACAATTGGATATGTTAATGATATATTGACCGCAAAACTCAAAATGTCCCCGGTTTTAATTTTGAAAATCTGGTCACCTTAGCTTAAGATATTTGTAGATATTTCCCTCGGGAGTTGATGGAGACCAAAACCAAGCTATGAGGAAAGCAAATATTGGACCTATAGGTGACTACAAAAATAACTCCCAATGAATGCTAATGTTGCTCTGTTTCTGCTCGATGTCTATAAACCAGCTGCTTGCTGACATGTTACCCATATCAACTTTTTAAGATGATACTATATCAATGTTTTGTTTGCAGCTTGTTCCCCTTCAGCTCAAAACAATGATTACTGAAGATTTAAAGTTACGTTTGAAATACTACAGACATGTGAGATATCGCAAAAGCTGGACAAATGAAAATGTGGTTTTGTTGGCCGACTATTATCAGGAATCCTTCTCACGTTCACACGAGTAATCAATCATGTTCAGACTAGGTAGCCTTTATAAACTGACAAGCCCTCGCTCTTGTTTGTGATTATTATGCACCTGCTGCAGTTTAAACTACCCTTTCCTCTTCACAAAGACTACATAAAGCTGTTATTGGTTATGTTGATTGATATTTGTCACTTTACCACCCTGCTCTCTTCTCTGTTAGCTTCCTATCACCGGGCTTGAGGATGGCATTTCTTAAATGTAGCTTTATGTGTTCCCTTTTCTCAGTGTCTGGCGCTTTATTGGATTCTCTGAAGCTCTCACCACTGTTTGGATTTCAGAGTACCTTTATGAGCAGGGCTGTGCCTCCAAATAAAAGTGTAACCATTTGTTACAATAAATATTCCTTTGTTCTTTGACACAAGTGTCACTGACGAATGGAGTGGCTGTACTCTGGAGGAGAGCTGTTCATGATAAGGGCGTCCACAGGTGTTGCAGAGAGAGCCTCTGGGACAGAAGTGTTGGCAGGGTCATAATTGATTAATGTGAGCAAAGCTGATATTTGAGGAGCACAATTGCTTAAATTGGCTGCACAGGCAGGTGTATTCAGGACACATCCACTCAGCAGTGGTAAAATGAAGAATGATGAAGTTTGGTCTGAATTGCAAATATCCCTCTGAACTGAATTGTTACTGTTGGTATTTGCGATCGTTGGTATTGGATTCAGTTTGTTTCCATTTAGGCTTTTGTTAATGAAGTTACTTTTTCAGTAGCAGATCTCTTCTCAGAGAAACTGGGATTACAACACACAGAGGCAGTGTGACTTAATGTTCTGCTCAGGGCTCCATTACCCCTCTATATGTTTACATAGCAGAGTTTTTTG